AAAGGAAAACCAGGAGCAAAACAACTGCTGGCAGGAGGGCTCTTGAACTGCTTTCTATCAGTTTGGCTCAACAAAGTGTGCAGGAATGCTGATCTGGAGCCAGCATTATCTCTAAATGGCTCTTCAATTGAACGTAGATGGGCCCCCCCAAATCCTCCGAAAAAACAAGCATGCAGCAAAAAGCTATGACCCAAATCTTGTTTATAATTTCCCATCTCAATTCACTCCATAAAAATCAGCTTTAAGCAATTTATTAGTGTGCCACCTAGGCTTCATCCCTCTTTATTTTAACAAATTGCTATGGCAAATCCCTTAATCCAGTCCTGAAAGAGGTAAGGCTGGCATTTCCAAATCACATGCAGCCCAGAGACGATTGACTGGTCTAATCTGCTTACCCTCCCCCAAAACCCAGAGGCTGCTCCACATGCCAGGGCAGGAGCAGCACTTGGGTCAAGCGCTCTGAAACGAGTCAAGGGCAAGTGATGGGACAATCCTGAGGGAATGAGAGACCCTGAGCTCCTGCTTCACTCCTGTGCTGCACTGCTTGGCTCCACCTCTGGCCAACAGGACCTTTGCCAAAAGCTTGCTTTGATGAATAAGGGTACCTAGGAGACCCATTCCTGCAGCAAACACCTCTCCCTCGGGCACTGCAACCCAACAGGGCATCACAGGCAGTAGAACTTGCCCGGGTAAGCAACAAGGTGCAGGCAAGTCTTTGCAAAGGAAAGCTGAGTGACAGCAACCTGAGCACTACTGCAATTGTGATTTCTGTGCTTTCCACTTGCACCACAGCATGCTTAGGGATAAAAATAGCTTCTTTCCCTAATGCTATCAATCTGGTGCAAACACATGGCATCCCAGGCTCCCTGCACATGCAGCCAGGGATTCCCACTGACTCCAACAGGCTCTCAGGCTGTGTCTCTTGGGGGCAGTAGCAACAGCAGAATGAAATTCCGCCCTGACTGCCTCTGATAAAAGAGATCCTCTTGGAAAGCACATACTGGGAAAACAACTTTGCAAATGATACTCAGAGTGTTTGATAACCTGGATCAGTTGATCAATTTTCCTGCTATCTTCATGCACTTTGCTCTTCACATCTCAGAAGCAGTGAATGGCACAGATTCTTTCTTCTAAAATTTGAGGCAGTATTGTATTTTACATATTGTATTAAAACACACCTCTCAGCAGAAAAATTCTGTTTTCTTCTGTTTTCCTACCACTTGTCTAGATTCTTTCACCTGGATTAGTGAATATATATTAGTGAAATAGATTTTACTATAGCGTTCTCATTCATTATTAAACACAGAACCACAGCAATTTCTGAATAAGACACAATATACTTCAGTATGTCATCAGGGTCCTCCATTCTCCTTGAAGGATTCACAGCCTGTGCTGAATAGACAGAGGATGAAGAAAAAGGAAATATGAATAGAGACAGAATGAAGAAAAAGGAAACATGATCAGGCTGTTTCATAAGTGGGAAATATGGGACAAAGCAAGCTTGTCCAAGGTCAAGCAGGAAGTTTCTGGCATACAAAGGAAATGAATACTGAGCTCATGAATTTCAACTGTTGCATAACTAATAAGGGACATCCTCCCTTCAGTCTCATCCAGAACCCTGAACAGTTTTATTCTACAGCAAAGTCAGATTTACATGGAAAGATTTACCTTACATGACAAAACAGATTCATGCTCCAAATCTGTACCTCAGTGAGCAACTGTCAGAGACCCTGTAGAAATCACCTCGTCACCAGTTCCAAATTACCTTCAGGTCATCCGGGATGAAGACTTTGCGAGCTTTCTTAATCATGGGCTGGGGTTTCAGCTCCTCTTCGGAGAACTTGCGCTTGCGAGGATCGAACATCTCCTGGCCAGGAATGCTGGACAGAGCAAGATCTGCAGGGTCAGGTTCGTAGCCAACAGGAACTTGGATAGTCTCAGGATCAATGGGGCTTGGGGTGTTCCGGTTTGCTGGCAAGATCTGACCTGCAGAAATACAGGATAAATACAGCTGGGTTAGAAAAAATATGTTAATTGTAGCAAAGGTTTTTAGAAGATCTCTACATATTTTACAAGCAATAGTTCTTTCAGCTTTCCCTTCAGATTTGGTATCTGTGCTTACTAAATATTAGATTGTCCATTCTGCAAGGTGCAGAATTCTGACCCAGACATGCTCATGGCCTTTATATTCAGAATCTGTGCCTAACTCTGGTTGCTAATCTTGGACTCCAACGTAACATCACTGAATCCAACGCTGAATTGCACTGGACTGCAGGCAGAAGATGTATTGCTCCAACCTGTACCACTTCATTAGGATCCCATCCTCAGGAACAGATCATAAGCACTGTCATTTAGTTCAGATCTATCAGCACACTGTAACCCCTCACAGTTATACCTCTGAGAGTATGTTTATTTTACAATCAAAAAATGTATTGTACTTGCCATGAATAGCACCTTATGAAAGGGTACTTTCAGCTGTGCTGAAGTACTCCAAGGAGACTGCTATTTATTCTTTATGAAATCCTAGTAGGGATATTCTAAAAGACAGTGAAGGAAACCAGTGACATGAAAGACTACAATGATTCCTTAAAGATGCAGTGCAAAAATGAAGAAGAAACTTATCGATGCTGCATTTCGCTTTTATGGTATACAAAATCTAATAAAAAGGAGCGTATCCCCAGAAAATGAGTGCTGTATCTCCCATTTTTCTCTTTTTGATTTTAGATAAAGCCTTCAAGATCCTACAGCACCAATTTGGGCACCATTCCCACTAAAAATCCAATTTAAAATCTCAACCAAAGGCTCCAAAAATAGGATCCTGAAGTCAGCTGCCTAAACATGGACTATCCCCGGGGGCAGAATTTTCAGAAGTTTTCACATGCCTCAGAAGTAGAAGCCGCACAGACTTCAGAGGGAGGCCTTCTGATTGAAGCAGATATTCTTTTATCATTTTGGCTATTTGCTAATTCATTTTGACTTTAGCGATATGACGGCTTTCATGACAACTACAAAAACATCCTGTGGCTGTGTAATATTTCCTTACTTGTGCCCATATCTGCAATATTTAGGGTGTAAAACAGTAAACATTACACGCCATTTCTAATTCCAAGGCCAGCATTAACAATGTAGTTTTTATTTTAACAATATGGGAACCGCACGGAGAAGGCACCAGGGGAATTGCACTGCGCAGGGCTTGCTAAGGGAGAGCTTTTGTAACTCCTATTTTAGAGCTGATAAAATCAGCTTCCAGGAAAGGCCGGTGAGGGCCGGGGAGAGGAGAAAAGGAGGATCAAAGTTATCAAAATAGAGATGCGGCTGCAGGAGAGGGAGCGAGAGGAAAGGATGCTGCTGCACGCTCTGTGCCGCTGCGGAGCGCTGCCGGCCCGGCTCGGGACGCGCCGCTGGAAACGCGCCGCTGCCCGCGGCCCCTCGTCCGTGCAGCCGGGAACTGGCGGTGCCAGCGGCTTCTCCCCGCTCTCGGGGCTAGGAACGCGGCCTTTCCAGCTGTTAGCCCGTTAATACAGCCGGGAACTGGCGGTGCCGGCGGCATTTCCCCGGCCCGCCCGCGGTGCCGGGCGCGCGTTCCCGGCGCAGCGCTCCGGGATCACCGGGAACGCCGCGGGAGGCTCGGCCCGCACGGCTTCTCACAAGCCTCATCCATCCCTCCTGGAGACGGCGGTGAGCGGGCTTGAGTCACCTCCCCGGCCGGTGTCACCTCCCCGGCCGGTGTCGCCTCCCCGGCCGGTGTCACCTCCCGTCAAGGGACGCGCGCCCGGCATCCATCGCTACAGATGGATGGGCTGCCACGGCCTCATCTGAAGGATGAAACACAGGAAAAGCTCCTTGGGTGAGTGCCTGCTCTGCAGCAGCCAGGTAATCCTTAGTGCAGACAAATAAACAGATGTATGCACCTACAAATGGTGCACATTCTGTAATAGTGATAAAAATGAAGCAAGGCATGAGCTCTGAGTACTTTTATAATATTTCTGGAGAGCCTGCAGGGTGTTTCTAAAAGTAAAATGGATTGTGAAATCTGGCCCAGCTTTCTAATTGTCCCATGTGAGAGCCTGTATTTAAATATTGCTGAAGTTCTTTATATACAGGATCAGTTTGCATATTATCATTTATCTATAGCATGCCATATTACACAATTACATGAGCTCTGCAGTCACTGGCCTCAAGAAATTTTACAATATCACCCTAAAAACAGGGCAAAACCACTCCTTTTAGACACAAAAAATTGAGGCATTGCATCTTAGCAATACAAGAGCAAAACAAAGAGTGATGCACCTCCACAGCGGTCTGGGAGAAGACGTGGCAGTCAAGGTCCTGCCTTGCTCCCTCCACGCACACGTTTCCTCTCCCCTGCTTTAGGAAGCTCTCACAACTACAGACCTGGCCCTTCAGCAAACACAAGATATTCCAGTGCCAGTGAGAAGCCCAAGGGGAACGCTGTTCACTAAAGCCTGAACAAGCCATGTGTCTAAAGCACCGTCATGAGGAGCCCCAAGAGTGCTGCCCTGTGAGATATCCGACACCCACATGGCACACACACTTCTGCCAGTCTCTGTTCTGTCATGATCCTGCAAATGATCAGCAATTCCGTCAAGAACAAAAGACTTAACAAGGGTATCTCAAGCCCCAGGCAGAAAAACCAGAAATGCCTTGTCCAGCATTTTACGTTGGGCAACTCCTGGCACCGGGGATCATTTTATTTATTCTATCAAGTTTTGCCAATAGTGCAAGCCAGGAACCTGTCTTCGTTAGTTTGCTGGCCAGTGGCCATGACATCTCTGCAGTGCTGGAACTTGTCGTAATCCAAGAGGACAGCGTGGGCTGTGCTGGCCTTGGCTCCGCCGTCGCCGCGGGAGCGCAGAGCGTGGCCTCGCCTTGCATCGCTCCCCGGGCTCCTCTCCACGGGAGTGCTCGGCACTTTCGCTCTGCGTCCTCCTGCCAAATTTGTTTGGGGTGTTATTTTTATGCACTGAATTCCTCGCAATCAGAGGTAGGTCAAATAAGCACAGCAATCTGAATGTCATGTGCCCAGCAGCCGACTAATCCTTGCATCAGCAAGTTTCCCAGCTGTCACAACAGCCACTAAAGGGCTGCTCGGAGGCTCCGAAGCACAAGGAATCGGCCAAGGAGGAAAGCCACTCTGCAAGGTAAGGCCCCTCAGTGCCCAGCACCGGGAGCCAGATGCCTTTGCCAGGCTCTGCATTATTGAAACACTCTGCACTCACAACAGCGGCCAAATTTTCACAACAGTGAAGTGGCTGGACTGTTTAATGTGCTTAAGCTTTGTTCTCAATGGGGGCTGATGACTGCCAAGTGTTTTGGAAAGAACTTAGCCCCTCTGTTTAAGTTGCTGAAATGAGAACTCTTGAGCATTAAGCTCTTTTGGAAATCCAGCTGCCGAGCTCCACGGTGGTGGTGGTGGTGGTGGAAGCAAGCCGGGAACAATTGTTAATGGAAACTTCCCCTCATACCACCCTAGTGATGTGTCTCAACCATGGCCTGGAGAAACCACAACTGTGTCAACACTGGCCTTTTGTCTGGAGCCTTTCCCACTTACAGAACTCCACTCAAGCAGGAAGGAGTATGCCAGGACCGACACAGCTCCAGGTGTCTCCTGGCAAAGGGACCAGCAGGTTTTGACAACCCCAGCAATTCTGCTGCCCTAACATCTTGCCTTTGCTAGTGCTTTTGGTGTTGCTCTGGCAGATATTAGCATAGTGGAAAATTTTCCATAAAAAAATGGCTTGAAATAAAGTTTGCTGTTCTAATCCTTTCAGTCGTCGTCCTCCTCCCAGCAGAGACTGCCAGTGAGAAGTCCAATGTAATGGCAATATTTTCAGTGTGGTTCCTTTTTCAGAGAGAAGTGAACTGAGGCCATTCACTTGTGTCATCTAGGTGACCAAACTGCGGGTTAAAAAAAAATAAAAATTGAAGCTTTAAATTCCTTGCAATAATTAAAATTCACAATTCAAAAGTGTAGCAGCATTTTTGTATACCTACAAAACCCCAAATGCTGATCTGGTATCATGGGGAGTTCAATCACCATATCCTGACACTTAATTTCCCCTGTTTGAAACATCCCACCTACCAGCTGTGCCCAGGAGAGCAAAGACAGAAATAACCTCTTCAGCTGCACTACTGCTTGGCAGACTTCTTATCTGTACTGCAAGAGATCCCTGGTAAATTATGTGGAACACAATTCTGAACCATTCAACTCCCATAGAAATGTGTCTGATTTTCAGAAAATCTCCCTTCTCACAGCCCTTCTACACTCCTCATCAGCTCAACAGCAGGCTGGAAAACAGCATGGAGAGGAAGAAAAGGGAGTGAAAATGTTCTAATCAAAATATTTTTCCCTATTTTTTACACACATTGGAGGGAAATAAAAGAGGAGTTTCCTACTCAATTTATTAGCAGCCCAGAGATAAAACATGTGTTTGCTAATCATTTTTCTTTAGATAAACGGAAGGCACTTTGTGTCTGTCAGTCAGGCTCTGCAGCACAGTGGTTAAACTGACAGAGAATCCTCACCCAGAGCTGCTCCAGAGCCCTCCCTGTATGTTTTCCAAGCCTTCCATCCTCTTGGCAGCTGGCCAGCTATTTGGGGTAGTTCCCTTACTCCAAATCACAGCCTGTCCTGGACTAATCTGTCATCCAGCTCTGTATTAACTCCTTCAGCCTCCAGGAAAAGTTCTCTCACTGCAGAATCCACGGCAAGAGCACAGGGATCAAGACAGGCAAAAAAATCCCCACAGGAAGCAAAGTAAAAGGGGTATTCTGGAGGTTTATCTAAGGACAGCACCATGTCATCTAATCATTCTCCACCTACAATACCATAAGCAACCTTTTATCTATCCTATCTTATTCTATGTAATTTCCCTGCTATTAACATTGTAGTTGTTTTCCAGAAACCAAACCATTTAGGTGGATAGGACTAAAGCCACATGCTGGAATCCTCCTGCCCTCAACTGGAAGGACAAACCCAACCACTCTCTACCTTGGGGTGAAGAAGACACTTCACCTCTGGGTGTGTTTATGCAAGCAATTATAGGAGCTTTATTTTCTTCCCAAGCAACGGGAGATCTGTGTATTTTGACCAGGGCTCCAAGGTGGCATGGACATTCCCCTATTCCTTATCGTACACAAACTCGATCCTGCTGAACATGTGGTGACTGCAAACACTTCCTGCAGAAAGAAGGATCTCAACCCAGTGCAACCACAACATAATTCACTGCTTTTAACACACACTATAGGACTGGTACACTAAAGGGTTTTTTAAATGTGTACTTTTTGAAGATATCAGCATTGTTTACAAACCTTGTGCATTTAATTATGAAAGAATTGTCATCTCCCCTCTCAGCATTGTGTGCCTCCTGCTCTGGGCCTCTACAGTATTATTCCAGGCAGGACTGGTAGTCTTATTAAGATTGTCTAACACTTCCATTAGAGGATGCTGTCTTCAGTTCCTTCAGCCTTTGCCAGATTTCAACCATTCTGTTTGGATTTCTTGTGCGCCAACTGCTTCTGCCAAAATGGTTCTACAGTTTCCCGAAAAAGGTTCCACAAAAAATACTTTGTTTTGAACCTGTTAAAAATTTCTGGCAGACTTCTCACTGCAGTGTGCTAGTGGCCTGTGCACTGGAAGAGAGGGCAGCTCCTGGGTCAGTGTTACTTCAGAGAACCACAGAACAGTCTAGATTGGAAAAGCCCTCCAAGATCATCAAGTCCAAGCATAAACACAGCACTGCCAACTCCACCATGAAATTATGTCTTCAGGTCCACATCTACATGTTTTTTAAAACCCTCCAGAGCTGTGATGCAACCACTTCCCCGGGCAGCACGTTCCAGCTGTGGGCATGCTCAGGCTGGAGGAGAAAGAGAGGATTTCACTGAGTGATTAGGACTCAAAGCTGAGAAGGTGATAAGGAGGTGAGGAAGGCGAGGATGACAGACTGGCAGCCAAAGATGAGAGGGAGAGAGCCTGGAAGGGGAAGGCTGTTCCAGCAAAGGCTGTGATGAATGCACTCAGTAGAAGAGCACTGTCCAATGGAACAGGGCAGGATCAGCCTGTGCTGATGGTACACAGATTCCCAAGTGCCACAGATTCTCTCCAACAAACAAAACACTGGCAAACCTCCCTGTCCTCCTTCAGCTCCTTGCAGCGAGGGTCAGTCGTCATCCTCTACTCAGTCCCACCAGCAGGACACTGGGGTGCTGTCAGATCCATTTCTACTCATTTCCAATGTGCCTGTTGTAAAAGTGGGACATGAGAAAGTCTAGCCTGTCTTTTCAATTTGTTTTTAAAATTAAATGCAAGAGCTGTGTAAGAAGTACAGGCACAGTTGCAACAATCTTTCAAGTTTCACCTATACTATCTTACTTGGATTCTCTCCTCCTTAAGGAGACACTTGTTTCACTCATTTTGATTTACCCAAATAAATCCATATAATATTTGCCATAAATTATTCCAACTTCCTGTAGAGAAACAATTTCAGGAGTTCCCTCCAGCACTGACAACTACTGCATCTGTGTGCTTCAGAAACACCTTCTTCCCCACAAGACTCCCATGAAAGAAGGGGCAACACTTCTCTTTGCAGATGAAGAAGTACAGGTATTTTAAATCAAATCATCATTCTCTCAGATTAGCAAATGTTGTAGGCATTGGCTGCATTTTAAATAGGACTCTCATGGGCTTCTGCAGCTGTGGGGCACAGGTGAGAGCCACCCAAGGTGTCACACTGGGCTCCTCACAGAAAGGGAAGCAAACACATGGTGTGACAGGTCCACAAAATCAAATTAATTGTTTATAATTCTGCTGAAACTTTAAGCAAAGTCCAGTGTCTCCAGACAAAATCCTTTGGTCCTTCCTGCCAGATTTTCCCTTCTCCTCCTGCTGTTCCCTGCATCCTCTCACATCTGCAGTAAATGAGGTCAAGATCCAAGATCCTACAGACAACCACTTCCTTCCTGAAATGGCCCAGATTCAGCCCAGGGCTGGTCTGAGCTCTGCAGGCAAAATGGGAAAAGGGGAAAGAAGAGGATATATGTAATTAAAGCCTGCATTTCCAAGGGACAGGGTTTGCTATCCAAGGCTGCACACGTGGCCTTCAGTGTGCTTGCAGATCTTTGAGGGACTGACCTGCAAGTCCTGCCTCTTGTTACCATGGAGTGCATGGAATACCCTTTGCCTGCTGGCCCAGCAACGTTCTGCCCTTCAAACCAATAAACAAACAAACAGGAAGCACCAGCAGGTAAAATCTTCCACTACATCTCGTGTACTTCAGATCATCTCTTCTGTAAGATCCATACTCTGAAAGCCCTTCCTCGGATTTAGCCTATGGGAAGGCAGCACTTATGAGCTCAATGAGGCCTCATCTCTGAAAACAACCAGGAAATCCAATTTTTATTCCCTTCCAAACTCCCCCTGCAAGATGCCTGATAGGAGTTGCTCCTGCTCTGAACAATTCCCTTGCAGAATGGCTACGTGGAGGAACAGAGGGTTTGATTCTGCTCCCAGGACACTGAACAGGGATTTTAAAATTCTTGAAAAGCATGAAATCCACAGCATTCCTAAATGCCTGATTTTTCTGTATGATGCTGCCTTCCTTACAAAGATCAGCCAAGATGGAGTTCAGTGGGGACAGGGCCAGAAGAAGAGCTGCAGGGAAGAACATTCACACTGGTATTTAATTTTAATTTACACTTGGCTTAGAAGCATGTCTCACTTCAAGATGTTTATGTTCTCCAGTACCTTGGATCTTCTTAACATCCTTTGGCATATTTTTGTTACCTGACAATTCACATATAGCAAGATTCATCAAAAAGTACAGTAATTCTTTTCTTAAAGGGAAGAATCCAGAGAAGCATCAGAATTCTCAACCTGCTCTGAAGGAGACAAAAACATCCATTTTCCTCTCCCTGGACAACTATGTACCCAGCTTTAATAAACCAGTAGATTTTAGAGAGAGGTTTAGGTTTAGGTAACAGTCTCATATAGCACAGTCACAGAATCACAGAGGTTGGAAAAGGTCTCCAAGATTATCAAGTCCAACCTGTGCCTGATCCCCACCTTATCAGCAGTGCAGAGCACTGAGTGCCATGTCCAGGCCTTCCTTGGACACCTCCAGGGTCTGGGACTCCAAATCTCCCTGGGCAGCCCTTTCCAATGCTATACCACCCTTTCAATGAAGAAATTCTTCTGGCATCCAGCAAGAACCTCCCCTGGTGCAGCTTGAGGCTGTTTCCTCTTGCCTTGTCCCTTGTTCCCTGGGAGACCCCCACCTTGCCACAACCTCACCATCCATGAAAGTGCCCTCATGAGAAATTCTGCTCAAAACAAAGACAACACTTGTCCCCAGGACGTGTGTGTGCCACTGCCAATGTGCTTTTCAATGCTCCAGCCCAAGTCAGTCCCTCTGCCATTGTTCTGTTTATTTGTCTATCTAGGACAGCATGCTCTCAGTAAACAGGTCTTGCAAAGAGCCCTCCTGCAGTTCTGACAGCATATGCCACCCATGACTCATGGATCTATTACCCAGTTCTGGTACCCAAGCCCTGCTTGCCTGGGTGTGTTATCAAAACACAGCCAAGGGAGATTTCAGCTGGCATGGAAAAGCCACGTGAAACAGGTACATTTCCTCTGCCTCCCAATCAGCAGCTAATGGGGAGCCCGAGAGACAGACAACAGATGCTATCAGCAGCACTGGAATACATCCCTGAAGGAAAAGAGGTCACTGGGCAGAGTTACAGAACTTGAAAATCTCCTCTTCTCTTTTGATCTGCTCCGTGAACACAAATCTGAACTATCTGCTGCAGTCACTTTTTACTTTTTTTTTACATTTTACATTTCACTAAAACAAAGCCCACTTTTTATGTGACAATTTATTGAGGGTGATTTGTATAAAATAATCACGTTTTAAGAATTAGAGCTGCCAGAATGGGAACACACTGTTCCCATAAACTAAGGAAGGCTGAGTGCATTTTATTTTCTCTCTGCCTTAAATTAGGATCCCCTAATATGTCTTGGGGAAAAAAAAAAAATTCCATACAAACAGCAAAACCGAAAAAATTATACTTGGGCTGTTACAGCCCAATAACTGCAGAGGTCTGACTTGCTTTTATATACTAGCTTTATAGCCAAGGAGCACCCATAAAGTGTGTGTGGTTGTAGATTTTTCTCTATTGATGCATTTATCTCCATTTATAAGCTATACAGATGCATCAGGCCTGGGTAGCCTGAAAAAGGGGGCAGAGGAAAGAAGGGAGCACGTAGCCACTTAGGGAAAATTCCAGGAAAACAGGCTGTTGAATATTGATGCTACCCCTGTGCCTGCAACTACTTCTTTACAGCTGCTGCATAAAACAGGTTTTGGTGGCATGTCAGACACAGGAAAATCAGGTAACTTCAAAAGCAAGCCTAATTAAAAGATATTACAGCACTGAACACTGGGCACTGATAAATTCACTTCTAAATGTGAGGGAGTCACTGAGTACCAGAAAATGGCAAGAAACTGCTTTGCTGAGGAGCCTCCAAAACCAAACTAATGCCTGCAGAGACTTCTGTGCCTCATAACAGCACTCACATGGACCAGTCTGAGCAACATGCACCAAAACCTTCCAGTTAATCCTTTACAAACAGAGGCAGTGAAAAGGCTGGTGATGGAATATCTCTTGAAGAAATCCTGGAATTCTAATACTTACATTCCTTCTTGTGAACTCTGCAAACTGCCCACAGCCCTGAACTCAGTCTCTGAATACACTACTATGCATGTTCTCAATGCAACAGGCATGCTGAACCTGTGAAGATTGTGATCAATGTCAAAAATTAAATTAAAATGCCCCAAGACACAAAAATCAAAGCTCCCTTCATTTGTTGTGATGCCTTCAGGAGGCATGTCAGCAAAAGGGATCCATATGAGATTGCCTTTTCTTCTATACACTCTTCCCCCAATCCACAAGTAATACAGATTTTACTCTTGCTATCACACACAGCATGGCTCTCCACTGCCAATTAATGACAAAAAAGCCCATTAATGTGTTAAGTCAATATATTTTAAAAATTTCAATATATTAAAAACAATATATTTTAATGTAACCTTGAGGCCAGCATGCACTGGCCAATCATTGATCAACTCTCTGCATACAGGAGCTTTTACCATAGGAGTTGGCATTTTATAAACACAGAGGTAGGGAGAACCAGGTATTTTGAGAACCACCTCAATCATTTTAAGCTTATTTGAGAGGGGGGAAGTGCCCTTATCCCTGAGACCTTCTGTGTCTAAAACACTTAACAATTCACATTAAACACACCAGTGCTTTTCAAGCTGAGTCCCACAGAAGCAAATTGACTGCTTGGCTTCCTTTTTACACTGCTGGCTGTCCCATTCTCTGCAGAGACAGCACAGGCCTGGACAAAATACTTCATTGTCTTTCCCTCCTGTTTCCAGGTCACCTGCAGAATTCCCACTGTGTGCCCCTGCTCAGCACAGGATGGGCTCTACAGGAGTTGGCCATGTGGAAAAAGGTGATTATTCTGTGTCCACATGGAAGGAGAAGCACTGGACAGCTGGAAAGCACTGCAGGCTGAGGGCAGCAGCAATTCATAGGCTTGGAAAATTATGTGGGCTTTACCTTTTACACCCCTGTTAACTCTGATTTTCATGAAGTAGGTGGTGTTGCTACAGCAACTGTCGTATCACATCATTTCTGCTGTCTCTGTCACAAGGATCATCTTATTTTATCTTAAACTCAGATATGCAGCTTTTCTTCATCTATTCTAAAGCCCTCTGTATTTTGGATATGAAAAAATTATACAGAATAGAGCTGTGTCATATAAATGTGGTTTTTTGGGTTTTTTAATGTAGCAAAGCTTATGGAACATTTTTATTGGTTCTCCTTTTACAAATGCAGAAGGAATAAAGAAAATGGCACTGGCAGATTCATGGTGCTCCAGATTTTCAGAAATATATTAAGAGCTAGTCTCACAATGAAGATGTTTCATGCCACCTTTAATGTCTTCTCTCTACTAACCCTGTGCACCTCAGCAGAAGTAACTCATCTGTTCACAGGTGAAAACATTTTGCTTCCTCATGCCCAGGCTATTTATGCACCTGCATTCCACAGAACTCACACCCAGCTCAGATGCTGCTGCCCACCCACAACACAACCCCAGCCCTCACCTGCTGGACCTGCAGCCTGGAAGAAGCACGAGTGCCAGCCCACCCTCACCTGGTTCAGAGGGTTTGTCCAAGCTGCTGGGATGAGCTGGTCACCCAGCCTTGCAGCTGCCTTGCTCAGTAACCCCACAATTTGGTTCTACCTCTTTGGCCTCCATTTTGCTGCCTGGAAAATGTCTTTGAGGTTCAATGCACAAGCAAAATTCTATAAAATCCTGATGATGGAAAGGGTCTTTTCCATTTTTGTTATTAACGTGCATTCCAATGTGTGCAGTCACAGATCTTCCTTTTAAAAATATAAAAAGCAATGTGAAACAGCAGTAAATATTCAGTTACACCCCTGGGCTACTCAGGAAACAAAAGAAAAGCCCTACCTATAGTCAAAGGTTATTTCATAGACCCCTCAGCCAGCACAGCTCAGACATCCAGATCAAGCTCTACCACACCCTAAGCTAACGAGAATTTAGATCTGCTTCTTCCTGGGCATTTCCAGCCACTTCCAAAACAATCAGTGCAGTCACCAAATTGCACTTCAGTGCTCCAGACAGGTCCTGGGCAGATAGAAATCTGCCAGTGTGGATCCAACCTGTGGGCAAGGACTGTAGCTAGTGCACCTGGTTAATGACCACGTACAGAATTAAGATATCAAACAGCCTCCAGTTCCTTCAATTGCTTTGCAAACTTCATTTCAGTGCCCCTGGTACTTGACAATTGTTCTTGAGCTGATTTCCCAGAGAAATGAGTTTTCTGCAGTCCTGCTGTGCATGTCTGTCCAGCCCCCTCCCAAAAGCTTGGGAAATTGTTGGCCAATTTCCAGCAAATTTGGCAGCAAGGTATCCACACATGCTACCAACAAGCTTTGTGAAAACCATGTAAATGAAAGAAGCTCTTCCCTCCCTGGCTGCAGGAGCCTCCTTACACGTCAGAGGACCCATGGAGGTTGTGCTGCTCATGGAGCCAATTCCTTGGGCAGGAGGTAGGAAGGAAAAAACCAGAAATATTCACCAAGTCACTGTTTGTTAATGGCAGTTAGGAAAGCCATTTCATCCTCTGGTACTCTACTGGAATTGAGAATATCAATTCACTTTATCCTAGCCACTCATTTACTATTTTCAGTAATCAAGAGCAAAATTATTTGTTTCACAACTGCACTGTCACTTGACAATCCCTCTGAATTCCAAGTAGACACATCTGGTATTGATAGCCAGCAAGCAGCCATGCACATGGTCTGTCTTAAAAATCAATGCAGAATACAGTCAGATGTGGACAACCCAGCTGTCTGCTATCATCTGAGCATTTATTTATTCTTATAATATGTACTGAAAACCAGAAATCTACTAGAAAGAGCTTTTTTATATTATCCCCAGCACTTATTATGCAAGCAATTTAAGCCTTCCAACCAAGACACAGTAGGAGTGTTTGGGAATCAACAAATTTGCTCTGGCAGCAATGTAACATTCATTATTGGCTTTGAAGTAAGGAGGGGTTTGGTTGGAGAGGGGAATTTCTTTTATTTTCCTAAGAGTATGTTAAAATGTGGACAAAACTCTGGGTGAGGTACACTGGGTAGGACTCAGCTAAGAATCAGAATGCTGTAGATTTATGCTGGAAGCTGCCTGTCTGTCCCAGCTGAGGGATGCAGTCCTGGTGTGTTTTTTAGTGTGTAAGAGATCCCCCCTGCCCCTCTCCTCCCGGACTCTCCCTGCTGCTGTTGCCATGTTACACACACACAACTACTCAGGCTTGGGGAAGAACGGGTTAAACTTAGCGAAGAAAAAACACAAGCAAGAGAAACACCTTTCCTCTTTCTGCTTAACTGGATAATTGGTGAGCAGGAACCTGCTTGATGAGTTTCAGCAGCTCCTCGAGATCAGCCACGGCTGTTTCTGAGAGAGGCTCAAGCTGCCAACTGGATAAACACCAACAGGGCACCCCTTGCTAAGGCTTTTGATAAATAAAAATTTCCAGAAGGCAGTGAAGCAGTTTGTATTCCAAAGATCCATCCAAACCCAGGAGCACAGGGTTAGTAGAGAGAAGATATTAAAGAGCAGGGAGCTGAAAAGGCAAGAGTATTTTACAGACATTATATACATAAAGCTGTCACACAGTCAGAATAAATAGATTAATTTAAAAGAACAAAGAAGGACTAAATAATTTTTACTGCAGTGGAGAGAGTGCAAAAGTAAAATTCAAATGAATAAATTAACAGGTTCTGTCCTAAGAATTTAAGGGGCCAAGAAAATTCTAGTCCTGCTCTGTACAATCCTCTGGGCTTATTACTTGATACCATTTATCTATGATGCAAAGATTTTATTCAAGTACTTAGTGATTTTGAGTCCAGCTGGCTGAAATAAAAGCATGCAAGGATTGATTTTCACACAAGGATTATCCTGTCCTACCTTTATCAGAAGTGTGTAAGCATATGAGTTAAAAAAACCCAAAAAACAAATAGAACCAAACCCTGGTAAAATCTCGCTGTAATTTCCAACCAGACCCAGCTGCACAATCACCAAGCAGCCCCTATGGCAATCACTGTACATATTTCATTTCTATTTATTCACATCAGTGTTTCAATTAACTCAACACTACAACTGGCAAATAGGCATTTAGACATGCTGGGTTTTAAGATTGAGACCCAAAGCTCTCCCTTGCTGAAGCTCTGCCAGTTGACTCCAGGTGAGAGCCTCACCACTGGGCTTTCTCCCAGGTTCCCTCCTCTTTCTCCCTTGCTGAAGCTCTGCCAGTTGACTCCAGGTGAGAGCTTTCTCCCAGGTTCCCTCCTCTCTGAGGATGCAGGAGATACTAAGAGGAAGCAAAAATATATTTATATCCTAAACAACAACATATAGATTTGGGGTAAAGTATTTCAGCTTTGTCAGTGTTGATCTGTTCAGATGCAGCTCAAAGTCTTTGATTAAGTAGCCAAAACCCACTTCAAGGCTCAATACCATCCATCTAAACCAAACCAACCAAATCCCTCCACAAACACTGTCCCTTTGGAAGATGACAGGAACTGTCCCTCAAACACTGCCCCTTGCCCTCATATTTTACCCCTTCCCCAAGCATTGTCTTTTTGTACTGCTTTTTCAAACAAGGGTGCCCTTGGAGATGTTGGGGTTTCAAACCCAGAGCCAACTTTCCAAAACACACTGCATTTTGAAAAGCCCATTTTTGTTTCACAGAGAAATAAAGGAGCTTGCATCATAAAGCCTTTATCCACCCTCCCCCCCCAAACTCAAAGCTTCCCATACAGTTAAAAATCAAATCCAGCTTTATTTTCCTACATGAGTCAGGCTGCATGCAAACAGCTTCTGAGGAAGGCAGCTTGGGGGGGAGAACTGAAGGAAGAAACCCAGAGAAAAGAAATTCTTCTAACAGCACACTCTTATTTTCCCAGGACATTTGCGAATATTTTCATTTTAAAGCTAGAGGAAAGCCACCCCCTTCCACCCCAAAAGAAGTTTTAAATATTATAAAGACACACAAGGACACACTTTATTATTTTAACAATTACTGCTATTTTCAGGGCTCCAGCACAGTTACTTCCTTCCATAATTGGACTTCAATCAAACCCTAGTGAAGCTTTTGATCTTGGAAAGAGTAACAACACAGCTCTGTTATCAGCACAGAGGGGGAAAAGAGTAGGACATCCAGCATTTTTCAATAAAAGAAAGTTAATTGCTTTGACTTACATTTATCAAAGGTCACACCTACAAGTTCTGAGTGCACACACATAACAGTGCACACTGACAAATCTCATACAGACTGGACAAAGTGTTGGGATTATACTATCTGTGTGCATTAAAAAAAAAAAAAAAAAAGAAAAAAGAAAAAAAAAGAACAGAAAGAAGAAAAAAGCAGCAAAACAATGCTAGATTACTATCCAAATATACCCCAGTGGATGTCCTGCCAAAGAGCAAATATGTGGCTGTAAGCTCCAAACTGAAATAAAAGCTTGGCCAGCAGCCCAGAGCTTCACTGTATTTTGCTCAGCCAGCCATAATCTGGCAGAACAGAGTGAACACATTTGCAGCCACGTGATGGAGAAGCCCGTCGGGCCAAGCTGATTTCCTTGTGTTGGTTAAATGTGATCTTCAGACTGTACACACCAGCAGCTTGGGGAAACGTGAGAAAGGGGAAAACAACCAGCCACGGGCTGCAAAATGAAGGGCAACAGAAAAATTACTTGAGGAGTTTGCTTAAAGGTTTGGGTTGGCAGTGGTGGATTTTAATGAGGTGTTAACTGGGCTCCCAGGGCTGAGCACCCTGGATCTCCACTGGAGTTACACACCAGCAGCTCCTGCAAGGATGCAGATCCTGAGAGAACCCGATTTGGAAAAGGCACTGGAAATTCATTCCTGGGACAGGATTGAGGGCTACGCACAATGTTTCAAAAATGCAAAATGCTGAGTGGTTTTGAAGTCCACACTGAAGACTCAGAGGTGCTCAGACCTGCCAGGATGTGGCTCAGGATGGATGGTGCACATCCCCCAGGGTTCAGACTGTGCAGACTCCCCTGGAACAGCCACTCCTGAGCACACAGAAACAGCCATGAAGTGAGACAGAACCTGGCCAAAGGATTCAACCTGAAAAACATGTGGGGTAACAGCTGCCCCCATGATCAGGTATTATACTTTGATAGTAATGATTATAATGGTTTTAAATAAATTACTTAGGGACAGACAAACAGCATCCCTGGCCAGTGTCAGAGCTGCACGTGATCCCTGAGAGCAGATCACATGTGGCTGCAGAAAAAAAGCCCCCAAACACAAGACCTCAGGAGTACATCCCTGCTGCAGATAAGAGCGACTTGGCTGAAGCAGTCACCAGAGTACGTAAGAAAAGTGAGATTTGTTTACTTTCTAACAGAAATAAATTGATAAACCAGACACGTGCAGCACCTGGTGAAATCAGAGACGCACACGAGTTGACAATTACTCTTCCAGCTCTTTCCTTCTCCTTGTCTAATGACTCCTTTTCACGTGTTCAGAACAGCTTCCAGACAGAGAATACCACAATTTTCAACAATGACATCAACCGTATCGCACTGAGAAAATTGAGCAGATAAGAGACTCCGGAAAAGTGCTTTTTAAACCTGGTGATGAGCATGATCCAACTGAA